CCCAGAAACTGGGAGTATTCATCATTGTGAGCGCGTGTGTGTGTGTGTGTGTGTGTGTGTGTGTGTGTGTGTGTGTGTGTGTGTGCAAGCACATACTCCAGCATGCATGCGAGAGAAGACCACTTATGGAAGTCTATTCTTTCTTACCATACTGTTTCAGGTAGTGAGGTTGGTGGAAAGCATTCTTACCCTCTGAGCCATCTCACCAGCCTCTGTTAATTCAGTTTTAACTACATTCACAAATAAGCCATCTTCTCAGTCCACAATTATTGCTGGAGTGGAAGGTCAAAGTAAGTGTTGCTACTTTACCTTTAGCTTGTCAGTTCCAAGAAACCCTCTTGTCTCACAGCTGCCCAGGGCCCTTACAGCAAAGGGATATAATGACCAACTAGGGTGACATCTTAAGATATGGGTACTCACTAAATAAAAACTGTCTCCAAAGAGAACTTGGAACTTCTCTGGCCCAAAGAGAAAACTCAGCAAGTTCCTGGGTCTGGCATACATACCAATCTGGAAACGCCATAACCTCAATACCAGTCCAAATCAAATTCAAGGATCCTTCTAAATTCCCTCATAGAAATGAGGAATTTACCTGATTATCGAGAAAGCTATGAGAGTTTACAACCTATTATAGGTCAGTTCCTAACATATGAGCTATTAAAACCTTAAGAATCTCCCTCACATACACCAAAACCTTGCCATTTCTGAAACCTACGGGAAAATACCAGCTGGTCCAGGACTTGAGGATAATCAATGGGCTATAATACCTATACACCATCTAGTGGCAGACCCATACACTCTTACAAGTCAAATGCCAGAAAAGATGCCCTTTCTTCACTCTGACTCTCAATTCCTGCTATCCCAGTAACTTACAGGCAAGTCCCACCAAACTGCCAATTTGCCAGCCCACTGGAAAAGGACCTCAGGGAACTACATTTAAATCAGGGCCTATTTTCCAGTAAGTAGATGACTTACTGACCTGTGTTCCACCCTGGAGACATACCCTATCTGTGTCCTGGCTCTCCAAACACTAAGCAACATCTCAGGTTCTTTGGGGAATGGCAAAATTCTGCTGCATTTGGAACACACATTCTGGAATAATGGCCAAACCTCTTTATGAAGTCACTACAGGGCCTCAGACTGAACTCTCGGAATAGACACATGAAATCCAATAGGCCTTCAACTCCTTAATATTAGCCCTAATCCAGGCCCCAGATCTGGGTATACCTGATTTAACACAGCCTCTCATTCTGTAGGGAGAAAAGCCAGGGAATTGTTCCCACTATTGATTCAATAGTTGGTCTAATGACCAAGACGAGTGGCATACCTGAACAAGAAGTTGATGGGACTACTATGGGATGGCCAGGCTAAGAATAGCAACTCCAACAGCCCTGGTAGACGTGGCCTCCAAAATCACCTAGGGATCCAAATACCTCAAGTGAAGCCTATCTCAGAAATCAAGAGACATAAATAACTGAATAGAAATTAACTGAGTATCAGTCCTCAAGTCATCATAAAGATTTGTAATACTTAAAGCCCAGCACTCTTCTGCCCTGTTCTAAGTTAAAGCACTCCCATAACAATCTCTCAGAATTACGCTAGTAGAAAAGACCTCACTGACCGCGTAGCCATTACACCGAGAGAAGACCTGGTAGACAAATGGAAGGAGTCAGGTGTTAAAGGGAGAACAGAAGGCAGGGTATGAAGCCATTGGCCTAAAATAAGTAACTAAATCAGAAGCCTTGGTACCAGGAACCTGAGGTCAAAGAGCCAAGACAATAGTTTCCATCTGAGCTCTGGAGCTAAAAAAAAAAAAAAAAAAAAAAAAAAAAAAAATTTTTTTTTTATGGGCCATTGACATCAGAGGTGCCACTCACATGCCTAGCTTCGAACAAAGACAATCAGAGATATAGAGATAACAGAGATTCAGAGACGGAGAGACACAAATGCAGAGGCACATCTAACCCAGCGGTGGCATGACAGAACCACTAGCCCCGGCTCCGCCTCCCGGGAAGGAAATTACAGGAAGCCCCAGGTGGGGTCCCTAGGGCGGGTATAGCCTGCAACAGGATGCCTGATCAGCTGCTTTCCCCTGCAGCCAGCTCTGGCCCATGAAGCCCAAGGTCCCGGGGGCCGTGGACCGGGAACGTCTCAGCTGTCTGCACAACTGCGGTAGAGAAGTCCCCCCCCACCCCCCTCCCGCGGACCTCAGAGGCAGGCGTCCCCCTGCCAATGCGCACCCGGCAGCCCCAGGACTCCCTCGTGGGGCTCGGAGCCCAGCGTCCCCAGCACTGCCCCGGCCAGGCCAGCGGAGCGTCACCTCGGTCCCAGCTTCCCTCCTGGAAACGCCACTCACTCCAGCCCTGCCAATGCTCACCCGGCGGCCCCAGGACTGACGCGTGGGGCTCGGAGCCTAGCGTCCCCAGCACCGCCCTGGCCAGGCCACCGGAGCGTCACCTCGGTCCCAGCTTCCCTCCTGGAAACGCCACTCACTCCAGGGGAGAGCTGCAGAGAGGGCCGCGGCCGGGCTCAAGTCCCAGTGTGGGGACCGGACTGGACAGGACAGGACAGGACAGGACAGGACGGGATGGGGCAAGACTGGACGCCCGGGGCCCCGCCAGCCCCACCCACCGCGGAAGGGACCGGGCGCCAGGCAGACGGAGGGTTCCGGCCCAGAATGCAGGGAAGAAGGGGAATCTGAGGGGAGGACGAAGACTCAGGGGAAGATGGGGCTCTGCAGGCTGATGGGGACTCTGCAGGCTGATAGGGACTCTGCGGGGAAAAAGCGGAGCCCGGCCGTGCCGCCAGCTCCACCTTCCACCGCTTCCCGGGGCTCAGCTGGGGACGGGACAGGACCGGACGGGACGGGACGGGACGGGACAGGACTGGACAGGACTGAACTGGACTGGACGCCCGGGGCCCCGCCAGCCCCACCCACCGCAGAGGAGACCCGGCTCCAGGCAGACGGAGAGTTCGGGCCGAGAAGGCAGGGAAGATGGGTACTGTGAGGGAAGGATGTGGACTCGGAGGAGGATGGGGACTCTGCAGGCTGATGGGGACTCTGCAGGCTGATGGGGACTCTGCGGGGAAGAAGCGGAGCCCGGCCGTGCCGCCAGCTCCACCTTCCACCGCTTCCCCGGGCTCAGCAAGCGCCGCTCACCATTTCCGGGTTCCCGCACACCTGGCGAGCTCGCTGGGGTCTCCCCGAGCACAGCATCACCGGGCGACCGAGACTGAAGCAAGATGTCCTAGGCCTGCGGAGCAGAGATGGATCATGATACCGTTTCCAAAATGGCAGGTCATGTACAGAAGCCCCCGCCAGACTGTGAAAGCCCGCCCCTACTCTCCAGCTGTGCTCCTGATTGGACATTCCTCATCGTAATCCCATTGTCCAAGGCCTGGCTCAGGTCCCACCTTCTCAGAGCCTGAGTGATTGTGGCTCAAACCTGTAATTCAGTGTTTGGGAGGTGCAGTCAGGAAGATCAGGAGTTCAAGGCTAGCCTTGCCTATATCAGACCCCGTGGGGACCAAGTTCTGGCGCCAGGGACAGAGTCAGAGCCAGGAAATTTAAAAAGATGCTTGGAGCTGCCATACTTTATTTTCTCCAGGAGAGAGTGTGTGCTCTTGGTCCCAAGGACATTTTATAAAAAATCACCCAAAGATGTCTCCTTGCAAAACTGGTTATATAAGGAGTTACGTAACTGCCTCCTTTACTGGTCACTCGTGGTTCCCCGGACATTCGGTAGTGGCTATCTTAACTAAGTCATCCTGAAGTTCATACTGTGACTCTGTTGTCTGAATCTTTACCTGCCCCTCATGGTCTTTATTCCCTTTAGACCCTGATCAAAAAACTGAAATGAAAATTAAAACAAAAAAAAGAATCACAACCTCTTGACCCTAGGTATTTTAAAGCAGGTCATCCTATGGGAGAACTTAGCCCCAACTAAACATGGCAGTTAACCTTTGTATCTAAGGGTACTAAAGCTTATGAATTATATATTACATATACTTGTTCACAAGTGAGAAAAATATGACAATTAAATTTCTTTCTTGTAAATCTTTCCAATTCTGTACTTTGGAATGGCAGCCTGATCTTTGAAACGGGAAGCAATTCCCTAAAACAGAAAGTTCCAACACAAATATAATGAGAATTTTAAGTTTTTAAATTTTAGATTGATATGCAAATAGCTTTTAACTGTGGTACCTTCATGCATACTTGCTGTTAGCCTTTGCCCTCATTTGTTCCCCTGCACCAGTGCCCACCCCCCGCCTTTTGTACCTCTCTACTGTTTCCTTTCTACCCCTAATATCCCACACCTAGCTTTCATGTCACATCTTACCACAAAGTGTAAATTAATTTTCTAAAATATCCACATAAAAAATCAAAACAGGCTGGGCGTGGTGGCGCATGCCTTTAATCCCAGCACTCGGGAGGCAGAAGCAGGTGGATCTCTGTGAGTTCGAGGCCAGCCTGTTCTCCATGGTGAATCCAGGACAGCTGGGGCTACAGGGAGACCCTGTCTC